AAATCTTAATAACCTATTTCTTTGAACAGTACTAATTAAAATATTATATTTACTCGCGATAAATAAATATTTACTCAATAAGAAAATTTATAGTTAAAAATCAAATTGATAATTTTTGTATCAAATCAGAAGAATATATATTCAGTAAATATTTACTTGAAATTATTTAAACAAATATTTATAAAAATTATTATATTTTTTCTGTATTGTATGCCGATGCCATTTCGTGACAGTCATTACTGACTGAATTAAATTTTATAAGCAAATAATAATCCTCGCAGGGAGCGAAATCGTCAAAATATTCAAGTCGTTCAACACAAAAGCTACGTGAAAGACCAAATTTAATAATTCGTAAGATCGCGAGTAGAATAGAAAACGTAGGCCTATCGCGTACTTTACGTTCAGAAACTTCACAAATTATTTCAAAAATTAATGATCCACATGAATTTACAACATTGGGAAAACACATCGATTTAATATTTAACCAATACCTAATTACTCATCATGGAATGTTAGAATGAAATCATTTTGGCATACTCGCGTGATTCATCGGGGTGTTTCATTCTCAAGTCTTAGCGAGTCGATGCGTTTAACGCGAATCAACGAGCACAAATAGCGAAAATAGTTCGAGAAATCAGTAGAGGCCAGTAAAAATAAGGAGCTGAGTCAGCGAGAGTCGAACGATGTTTGTCCCTTGGATTCGTCAGTCAAAAGTCGGGCATGCTGTATATCACGTTAGAATTCATGGGTTACCCTACGACTCGCATCAATATGCCATACTTCACCGGCAAACATTGCGCACATTAAGCGTGTCAGTCAAACTAATTTTACATTTAGGAATTTCAACAGGGAAAGACAACATGCCTATACAGACGACGTATCTCCTTTCTTCTTCGCTTCCTCCCGCAGATTCGAGTCACGATAAGTCGTATTGCGTCACCCGGTAAACAACGGTAAACAGCGGTAAACCATCTCGTTAGAGCAAGAGACGCATCGAGCACGTCATCGAGAAGGACCCCTTCCGTGTATAAATCCTTTGTGTTCGTTCTTTCTCCTTCCACAAATAAACAAAGCGGCGACAGCAAGTTAATTTCTCACCGAACTGCTTTCGCACGTTGGTCATTTATCAAATCTAACAATGAAGTTGTTTAAACACTAAAATAATTAAAATTCTATTTATGCTTTTGTTCATATTTTATAAAGATAATCTTTTTTGTTTATAAATTATATATATATTTCTCTTTTAAATAATCAGAGAGATATTGATGGCTAATTTCTTTTTTACAATATTTAAATTGTTTTATGAATGTATTTTGCTCATTAATTTTGTAAATTTTCAGCATACGGCTGTATAGTCTAACTAAAAGGTTAAAAGTATATATATGTGCATGTATAGGTGTATAATACTTCAATTATAAGACTGAACTATACACAGAGAAAAAAGTCGTATCAGTA